TAATAATAATAATAATAATAATAATAGACTTTATTGGAGAGGGCAACATTTGACACTAACAAAATTGATAAACTAATAGAGCTCGAAATAAATACAAAAAGTAATGTATGTTTCCTCCTACTTTTGGGGTCATTACTTAGGAAACAAACCTTCACAAAGCCTTTTCCTAATCTCAACAGCAAGTGTCTGAAGTTCTTTAAATGACGCAGATACAAAGACATTCTCTTGGCTCGATGCAATTTCTCTTAGTTCTGCTTTATCAGCTCCTTTGCCAACTCCAACAGCATACACCGCTACATCTTTGTTCTTTACTCCTTGTGACGCAACTGACAGTTTGGTGTACGGTTTTGAAGTCGTTTGCTTTCCATCAGTGATTACAACCAATACCTGGAAAGGAAAATTCCCAGTATTCTTATTAGAATCAATAAACATAGAAAGGGCCAGAGTTATTAAAATGCACCTTAGTGGAAAAAGGCCCGTTTTGAATTATAGAAAGTCAACCACATTTTCAATTAAAAAACCTCTAAACCATAACTAGAGAGAGGAGGTACAACATATTTAGTTGCGCTGTTCACCATTTACTGAGGTATAAGCAAGGACATCTTTACCTTTGCTACGTTTGGTCTCATGCCATTTGCACTTTGGAACAAATCATTGTCTGCAAGTTGAAGGGCTTTGTCTGTGTAAGTGAAACCTCGCTGCCAACGCATTCCATCAATTGCGTTATTCACTTCATCTGTACTCTGACGGTTTCTGAATCGTAAGACGACCTCAGGGTTGTTGCTATAGGCAACAGCTGATATGTGCGTAGTGGAAGGACTGACGTCAAGCTTGCTGACCAACGCTTTAAGGAATCGCTTCATTCTTCCCCAGTTGCTTCGTCCAATGCTTCCAGATGAGTCGATGACAAATCCAATATCTGCAACTGGCTTGCATTGCTTTTCTGGAAAAAAATAATAAAAAAGATATGAATAAATATTAAGTCCATTCTCAATAAAAGAAAGTGGTCCATGTTGGCGCAAACGTTGAGGGCCAATAATACAATGTAGTAGTAGTAATTTATGCTTTAATTTGCGATAGGCACGATGGAAGTGTGACAGGATATTTTAAAGGAGTATTTAAGCATTAAATATCTCTTGCTCGAAGTAAAGTAAGTTTACAAACCGCATGGTCCCTTCTTTGCAATTGTCACTAGATCGCCACTTATACAAGATTGTCTCTTCATGTGACACTCAGAACGATCCTGGATTTCGTCTGATGTGCAAACAGGGTCGGCTGTGTCTGGACATGTCGGGCAGATGCACTCTGCTGTGTTATTTACAGTTCTGCAGCCTATGTTGTATGGTGCACTACAACCAACAGTCTTACATGGATCTGGTGGTTTGGCTGAAAGTTGACAAATGGGTAAGATCAAACTATGTAAGCGATTTTAAGAAAAATAAATATTCCGTCCTATTAAACTGTGTTATGATTCTACGTTTGCTGCTTTCCTTGAAGGTATGCTGTTTAGATGGAAACGAGATGGATATTAACCTTTGCAAAGCCTCTTCCTCATCTCGACTGCAAGCGTCTGAAGTTCCTTAAATGAGGCAGATACAAAGACATTCTCTTGGCTCGATGCAATTTCTCTTAGTTCTGCTTGATCAGCTCCTTTACCGACTCCAACAGCGTACACCGCTACATCTTTGTTCTTTACTCCTTGTGAAGCAACTGACAGTTTGGTGTACGGTTTTGATGTCGTTTGCTTTCCATCAGTGATTACAACCAATACCTGGAAAGCAAAAGTCCCAATGTTCTTATTAGAATTAATCAACATGCATAGAAAGGGACAGAGTTATGAAAATGTATCTTAGCGGAAAAAGGTCGGTTTTGAATTATAGAAAGTCAACCACATTTCCAATTAAAACACTTCTAAACCATAACTAGAGAGAGGAGGTACAACGTATTTAGTTGCGCTGTTCATCACTAACTAAGGTATAAGCTAGGTTATCTTTACCTTTGCCACGTTAGGTCTCATGCCATTTGCACTTTGGAACAAATCACTGTCTGCAAGGAGAAGGGCTTTATCTGTGTAAGTAAAGCCGCGCTGCCAACGCATTCCATCAATTGCGTTATTCACTTCATCTGTGCTCTGTCGATTTCTGAATCGCAACACCACCTCGGGGTTGTTGCTATAGGCAACAGCTGATATGTGTGTAGTGGAAGGACTGACGTCAAGCTTGCTGACCAACGCTTTTAGGAATCGCTTCATTCTTCCCCAGTTGCTTCGTCCAATGCTTCCAGATGAGTCGATGACAAATCCAATATCTGCAATTGGCTTGCATTCCTTTTCTAGTAAAAAAAGAAATTGGCAACTTCAACGGAAAGCCAACTTTTTATGACACAAAGACATCCCTGTTTGCCGAGCGCGATAACATAACACATTGTAATATCAATGATTTGGGGTTTTCTACTCAACCAGTGGGATGTAAGTAAAAGACGTGTTTGTAAAGTTTGTAAAGTAGTCAACCAAGGAATCGCTTTTTATCAAAGTCAATAAATTCACATACCACATGGTCCCTTCTTTGCAACAGTTACCAAATCGCCACTTATACAAGATTGCCTCTTCATGTGACACTCAGAACGATCCTGGATTTCGTCTGATGTGCAAACGGGGTCGGCTGTGTCTGGACATGTCGGGCAGATGCACTCCGCTGTGTTGTTTACAGTTCTGCAGCCTATGTTGTAAGGAGCCTTACAGCCAACCGTCTTGCATGGATCTGGAGGTTTGGCTGAGAGATGGTGAATGGCAAAATAAACAAACAATTTAAGAAAACTTGAAGGAAGTCAAAATTACACCGTGACAACTTATGTTTTGAGCTAAGTTAATTTGTGTTCTTGACAACAAGTGTTCTATATGGGAGGAAGGAATACTGACCTTCACAAAGCCTCTTCCTAATCTCTACTGCAAGCGTCTGAAGTTCCTTAAATGACGCAGATACAAAGACATTCTCTTGGCTCGATGCTATTTCTCTTAGCTCTGCTTCATCAGCTCCTTTGCCAACTCCAACAGCATACACCGCCACATCTTTATTCTTTACTCCTTGTGAAGCAACTGACAGTTTGGTGTANGTGTAGAAAGAGTCAATACTTTTTAAGTAATGCGAAATAATGTGAAATACCCAAGAACTGACGAAACATTTGGGGGGTGGTTTGGCCCCTACGTGAAAAAGAAAGGGAAATCGCACCTTTATTTACGTCAAAAGACTTCGCCGCGTTTCCATGAAGGTTTAGATTAACGCGCGCTTTCTAGAAGTTCCTTTCTCGGGGATATAAAACGCTGACCCCAACCAGGACACGAACCCAGACCACTCGGTCCGAGTCCACCGCACTACTCATTGATAAAGATACATAAATGGAACAGCCAAATTAGAAATAGCAATACAAAAGAAAATAAAAACATTTCCTTACCAATACTTGGTCTGGCTGTAAACGAAATAAAACAAAGGCGAATTAGCATTTTACAACAATCAGAACATCGGAAAGGAGAATTATACTACGTGGGGACACTTTTGCACAAAATCTTTAGTCTAGACTGAGAATAGGCCATTCTATAGTTGTGTGCTCAGTTACCTGGCCTATGAATGCAAGCGAGGCCGGAGATGACCTTGCTTTAATACAAACCTCTCTGTTTAACTCAATTAACTTGATTTACACAACAAAAGAAGGGAGGTGTGTATCAAAACAAGGCCACCTCCAGCCTCGCTGCCATTCAAAGGCCAGGTCACTGAGCAGGCACTTGTATGCAAATGATCTATTGACAATTTGAATCGAGAAAAGTTAGTGATAACCTTGGAGAATGACGACTCTGGTGTAAGGGTAGGGACTTAAGGTGTCAAAGTTACCTAGAACAGGGCTGGAAAATGCAGCTTAACATGGTTTTGGTTTAAGGTAGGCACACTCCCACAAGAAAACTGACATAGTTACCCTAGGGACGTTGCTTTAAGACCCGACCTTTAAAACTATGCTTTGCTCTTTTAGAGCTCTTCTCGTATGTTCTCCTCACTTCCTTGCGTGTTTCAAAAGAGAATAAACCACAGTTACAATTTTTGAGGGATTATGCAATATATTGCATAATCCCATATAGCCAGCGATTATATTGTGGCTTTGAGGACGTGATGTCACGCGACAGATCTTTATGAGCATGAGTAGTCCGAGAGGTAGACTGGTTACTAGTTTTTCGCTTGATTGTTCTATTTGTCTGATGCTGATCGCTTACCATCGCAAACTCTTCGCCTAAATACCCTTGCATTGGCTGGATTTTGCAGTTGCTCAAACGACTTGGCCACGAACACGTATTCAGTGCTTGAAGAGATGTCCAAAAGCTCTGTGTAGTCCACGACGGTTCTGAGCTCTCCTACTCCGATAGCTACAATCTGTACACCTTTATCCTTCAAGAGTTTCGAGGCTTTGGCTAAAGGAGTGTCTTGGCCTGTCTTGGTTTGCTTACCATCAGTGATAACGAACGCGATCTGTAATTTCAAACATGGAGGAAAATAACCACGTCTACTTCACGTTGTCAGGTTAAAGGTGTCTAAGTAGATTCCAGTTCGTGGGATAGATGGAGGCGAATGGCCCAGTTTCCGCAGTTTCTAGCGACTAGGAGAATTGCAACACCCCCTGACCCTAAGCCCGACCCTGAGAACGAGATGAGACGCTAGTATATCCCAGGTATACCCACCAATTTTGTCAAGTTGTTCCAAGAATCTCGCTACCAATCTTACTCCACAAATGAAAATCTCCTACGGTCCATTACACTGAATGGATGGCTATGATTCGAATCGTTTTCTATGTATATTGACCCTGAGAAAAAGGGACTTGGGTTTGAGCCACGTAATTTCTACTGCCTGCCACCGACTCAAGAACATAAAAAGCAACATCAGGCAACAATCTAACAGGGCAACTATCAAACAAACATCTACCTTGGGCACATTTGGTCTCATGCCAGCAGCTGTGGTAAACACTCCTTGTGCGGCTTGTTTCAGAGCCTTGTCGATGTAGGTAAATCCTCGCTGCCATGGCAATCCATCCAAAACTTTGACAACCTCGTTCACGTTCAACCTACTACCGGAGAGTGAGTTGAACCGCAAAACAATTTCAGGATTCGTGCTGTAGGAGATTGTCGCGATGTGTGTGGTTGTGGGTCCGATATCCAGTTTGCTGACGATTCTCATGAGGAAGCGCTTTGTTCGTTCCCAATTCGTTTTACCGATGCTTCCCGAAGAGTCCACGATAAAGGCGACATCTGCAGCTTTGCTACAGTCGGGCACTGAAAAAAAGAATACAGACGAAAGTTATTAACCAAAAGGTTTTCAACTCTTGCGTCAGTAACAAAAAGCATTTTCCCATTTTTTCAACGTTTTCACTGCCGTGGTTGACGATTTAGCCACGTCCTTCTTTTCCCTGCGACAGTAATCCTATTCATCTCAGGAGGCTGCTAGACACATAGTAATTTGAAAAGGTAAACTTGTGAAAATCAGTCAGTCAGTCAATCAATCATTAAATAAGAATGGAAATAAATTAATTGATCCCTTTCAGAGATAAAAATATAACCAAGCCCACTTCTAGAACTCGATTTATATATAGGTTTCGGCTGCCAAACTAAACCCTTTCTGCATGGTAGGACAGCATTTACTCTGAAATTTTAATCACGCGAGTTTTTCATCATGGTTCATTCCGCTTGCCAACCGTCTTGATATTAACCACGGGCTCAGTCCATTCTCGGGAAGAATTACAACAACAGGCTAACACTAAAGTAATATTTGGTTAACTTATAACGCATCAGTAAATTGTGACGTACCGCATGCTGCCCGTCTGTTAACGCCAATTCGAGTTGATGTAAGGCAGGCCCGTCTTCTCAGTACACACTCGCTAGGATCTTGAACATCGTCGGAGGCACACACTGGCCGGAGAGTTGTAGGGCAAGTGGGACATATACACTCTGCTTGATCGTCCACTACTTTGCAGCCTATGTTATGAGGAGCTTTGCAGCCTTCGGTTTCACAAGGATCAGCTAAAAGATTAATTAAGAATTCAGTGTTAACGGCCAGAGAAAGTGATAGGTAAAGTCCGCATACCAGCCAAGTGGCCCATCAGGCCGAGTTTCGGTAGCATGAAACGACTAAGAGTATTTCTGCTCTCCACCAGCTTGGATGCTAGTCCAATGCAGGGTTACCCCCAGCATTAAATTTGCCGCGTAGCTATCACCAGGGTGGAGAGAGGCACTAGAGTAAAGTGTCTTGCCCAAGGACAAAATGCGATGACCCCGGCAGGGCTCGAACCCAGACTGCTCAATACAGAGTCGAGCGCACTAACCATGAGGCCCCTATCGCACCTTCCATAGAGAAAGTGGCAATCCACTTGTATTGACCTGTGATCTGGCGTTCTTATTTTTCGCGGCGACGAATTTGCCTGATTGTATGTTATACTTTTATAGGCTATGTTGATATCGGGTACCCCAACTAGTATGGTGTTTGAGTTGTTTTGGTCTCAAGTAGATATGGATTTTTGGGTAAGCAAGAGACCATATTTGTGTAAAGGTGTTTATTTAGTTTTCTCGGGCTTTCGCCTTCAAATGAAAACGGAGAAAGAGAAGTGACCGAAACATATCTCATTAGTACCATAAAGTGATTTGCCGCTTTAGAGGTATTACCAACGTGTCTGAAAACACTTTCAACAGACACCAGCTATGCAAAGTGTTACGTAAAACAAGGTAATTCATTAATCAACAAAAGCGAACTACGCTTTCAAGAAAGGGATACACTCTGGAATCCACTTATAATGTCGGTTTTAAATTATTTCCCCGAAAAAGCCTTTAACTGAAAACTTGAAAGCTGTCAAACAGAGAAGAAGTAACTTACCTTTCTTTTGTTCTGAATGTGGATATGAAAAAAAAAAAAAATTGCATGAGTACACAACAAGTAAACAACGACAACATCATCGTCGTCATCGTGAACCTGTATTACTGGTGTCTCTCTATCGTACCAATCTAATTTCTATGTATGCAAACAGAATCGAATAAGATTTTGATTGATCAAAGACCGTGCAAAAGGGTAAACAGAAACTTATTATTTCGCTTAAAATAAAATGAACCCTTTCTATATTAAATTCCTCCTCCTAAACGAAAGGGCACGCGACAAACGCAAAATGTCCTCTGAAATTATCCATGCAAAATGCAAGGTTATAATGATACGAGTTTTGAATCGTAGAGAAGTACTCTTCAAGAGAAATCACTTTTGTAAATTAGAGAGTACTGCCGTAAAATGTGCTCCAACCAGTATGGAGTAACCAGTAATTTGATCTGTTCGTTTGTAGGTCTATTATGTCTATTATTTTTGTAATTTTCTCCACTCCTTTCTGGTTCCTCAACTGTACCGAAAATTAACTAATTTTGAAAATATGGGGCCAACTAGAAAACCGAATGGTTTACTTGAACCCATATTCTAACTTAATGTGATGTGATGTGATGTGATGTTATGAAGTATTTGCATGCCTAACGTTTGCGAGGATAACCTACCTGGACACGAATTCTGCACAATCTCCTGCGCCACTGGTGCAAGTTCGGCAAAACTAGTAGCGAAAAACACCTTGTCCTTTGAACTGGCTATGTCCTCCAGCTGTTTCTGGTCGAGTTTTGTTCCAATACCAAGGGAATAGACCTGAACCTTCTTCAATTTAAGTCCCCTAGATGCGTCAGCAAGCTGTCTATATGGACCTCTGTCTGTTGTTTGTTCTCCGTCAGTAATAACAATGGCGATCTGCCGAAGAAATAAGCCTGTTAATATTTGCCAAATGTTTTACCTTTCTCCTTCAGGGCAGGGTTTTTCAAAGGCCGATTAAGCTAACCCAAAATAAGCGAGAATTTTGACTCTGCGGTCAGGTTATCTGTATATTATTTGGCCTTCTGTTTTGAGTTTGAATAATCTCAAATTACACAAAACAAAAGCAGTGAAAAACATTTGTATGTAAGAAAAATTTATACTTCGGTTAACTTTTATATCCTGGGTTAGCGTTAACCGGCTTCCGAACAACCCGGCCCTGAAGGCATGACATAAGCCAAGGGAGCATGAAGAGTAAGTTATTTTTAGATCGGTTTCAGAAACCCAGGAGGGTCTAAAAATAGCCAATTCTTTGACTCAAAAATTAATTACGTAGACAGGCTATGCAGTTTTAAATGCACTCACGAAAACATCCAGGCAACGTGTGTGGTACGATTATCCACGAGGAGACTTAAACCATTATTGTTCTTTTCCACAGATGGAAACAAAGCCACACCGTAAATCAGTCCTCCCGAAAATAAACCTCAACTCTCTGACAAAAAATTCATCCCCTCCTCTCTTCTTCTCTCCTTTGAGCTCCTCTACCCTCCCATCTCAAAATTGTGCGATAACGCGGTAATGCCGAAAACTTATCTTAAAAAAAAAATGAACACTACTGAAAGTCAATTGCAAATTAACCTGCAAATTTTTAACCTACCTGAGGAAGTTCTGGTCTCATTCCAGCCGATCTTTGAAATACTTGTTGGTCGGCAAGAATCAGAGCTTTGTCAATAAAGGTGAAGCCTCTCTGAAATCGGATTCTATCGATAAGACTGTAGTATCCTGCCTCTGTTATTTGAGATCCTTTAAGTCGGTCGAATTTAAACTCAAGGTTCGCTCTGCTACTGTAGGCTACAACAGCAATGTGTGTTTTATCTGGGCCGACGTTGAAAGCTTTCACCATGTCTTTCAAGAACTGCAACATCTTGACCCAGTTCCGCCGGCCAATGCTGCCTGATGAATCCACCAGAAAAGCTACGTCTGCTACAGCTTCGCATACAAATTCTAAATGACAGTAAAGAAATAGGCAAAGTTAGCTTACGACCACGAAAAGGTGTGAATGAATGAATGAATGAATAAATGAATCGCATTGAGGACGCCATTCGACTTCTATGTGTTTTTGTGAGGTGATTTTGCATCAGTTTTGATTAATAGGCCAATTTTTAGATATTAAAATTCGTGGGCTTAGGAAAAAATCACAATCACTTTTAAGGTCTAGGAAAGCTCCACTAGCAGCCCTTCTGGACTTCATGCGACTTTCTATATGTTTTGGTTAAGGTCTTACGACCGCATTTGTGGAATACATTTCTTCCCTTTTCTTATCAGATGCGAAAAATAATAGTTCCCCAGTAAATTTTCTCTGATTCTTATTGGTTTAATTTGATCACGTGACGCGATAGCGTTCATCGGCGGAGAGACATTTTCTGCCGATAGCGCCCGTCCGAGGAAAGTAACCGGATGGACAGTACTCGTCGGTAAAAATTTTTCACTAAACAAGCCAGCTTATAGAAAAAAACAACAGCAACAACAACAAATTGAAAGACGCAATATGTCTGTTTTCTTTTGGAATTTGGCTCTCACGCCTTTCATCTAAAAAATGTTTAAAACAAGTCAACATGTTTTTTTTAAACTGCACACAGAAGAAACTTTGGTGGTGAAAAATAAAGACAATAGAGCGTTATGTCTCGGAACTACCAGTCTGATAGTTGTCCCTTGGAAATTTGATGTCCTTAAAGGTAGAATAATAATAAAGGGCAAATATTTGTTTTAAGCACGTCAAACATCCATGGGGCAACTCTCAGACGATGAGTAATTATAGCGATCCTTTTTCTCCATTCGCTAAATAAACTGACATGAATTGAAGCACACCTGGTCAAACTTTCTTCACTTAAGATAATCTACCTTCTACCTGGTTTATGGTGTACGTAAGCTCACGAAGGAGCACAACTTACCTGTTGGTTTTGGTGTGGTAGGAGGTAGAGTTGTGGGAGGAGGACGGACTAAAAGAGAAACAAAAAAAAAACAGTAATAAAAGACTTCTTTGTCAAAGATCAATTCTCTGGAAACGAAAAGAAAAGTCGAGTCCTGCAATGGAGACCACACTCGTTTAAAAGCTGCTGGTAGTAGTTAACAATCATTCCACCAGCGCGCATTGGATATTAGATAATAGATAGCCAACAAATGGGTTCCTCAGGTTTTTATTCAACTGCTAGATACTCTCTTACTAAATTATGTTTTATTTAAAAAAGTTATTTGTAAAAAACTACCCCGGGTCGTCCAGTTCTCCCGGTAATAATACTCTTCAGTAACTAATCACGAAAAAAAAACGTAAAAAAACGTAACCCCGAATTGAAACCTACTCATTTTAAACCCTTTTACCAGAAAGAGTTAAAACAAAATAGATTCTACACTGACCTTCACAAAGCCGCTTTCTTATCTCAACAGCAAGAGTCTGCAGTTCCTTAAATGATGCAGATATAAAGACGTTCTCTTGGCTCGATGCAATTTCTCTCAACTCTGCTGCATCAGCTCCCTTGCCAACTCCAACAGCATATACTGCAATTCCCGCGTTCTTCACTCCTTGTGAGGCTACTGATAGTTTGGTATAAGGTTTTGATGTTGTTTGTTTTCCATCCGTGATGACAACTAGAGCCTAAACAAATGAAACAAATTCCTTTGGCAAAAAAATAAAAGAACAAAAAAAAGGAACAAAGGTGGCAACTATCGGATGTTTTCACTCACAAGGCGATAAGGCTATACGAGTTTATTGGAACAAAGAAAAGTGTCTACATAAGAAAAGAGTGATTTGATACTCGAATGCAGTGATGTGTATATTGTGTTTATTAAAATTTCCTCATTATTTTTGTTCTTCAATGTATTCGGCTTCCTGAAATGGCTATTGATTAATTCTTTCAATGTTATTGTGTCAAGTAGATGATCAGTATTTAACGGGAGTTCCACTTTTAGGCTTAGCTAAATCTATACATCATCTCAATTTTCTGACCCCCGTAACTATCCTTTATAAGATGACGTATGAAGCAAAAAGAAAGATGATCTACGTCTGAGTACGTTATTACGTTACATTGCCCAGCGCTTCGTCATCGACGTACCTTGCCTACGTTTGGTCTCATGCCATTTGCACTCTGGAACAAATCATTGTCTGCCACGAGAAGAGCTTTATCTGTGTAGGTGAAGCCGCGCTGCCAACGCATTCTATCGAATGCCAAATTCACTTCATTCGTACCCTGACGGCCGTTAAATCGCAGCACTACCTCGGGGTTGTTGCTATAGGCAACAGCTGCTATGTGTGTAGTGGAAGGACTGACGTCAAGCTTGCTGACCAACGCTTTTAGGAATCGCTTCATTCTTCCCCAGTTGCTTCGTCCAATGCTTCCAGATGAGTCGATAACAAATCCAATATCTGCAATTGGCTTGCATTCCTTGTCTGGTGAAAAAGTAAAGCTTGATAAATTAAAGTTATTCCAAGCTATGCTGTTGTTTCATAATCGCTTATCAAATATTGGAAGGAAGAAAGATCTAGGACTCTATTGATAGACAAATTTATTTCCTCAGTGCTAACGTTAACTGGGGTCTTAAAGGGTCTCTAAATTCATCGCTGTATGCTTTTTACAATTTGCATTGTTGTTTGCTTTGGACTGGTGGTGGCTAAACGTTTAAATGATTACATGCCCACATGTAAGAATTACAGTATATTTGAGACCACATCCCGAGAAGCTTTGGAACCACGTAACTGTCTGAACGACCGGATTGAGACACCCAATAACGTGTGAAGATAAAAAGACTGTTTGGTTTTTCTTTTGCTGGGCGTTTAGTTCTTTCCTGTGGCACGTACATTGTACGATATAGCCTGCGAGCACGCTCACCTTTGAGTCACGCGCGCGAGCGGCGAACAGCAAAGCGATCCGGCGGGAAGGAGTCTGGTGTTCGCACTCTTGTGCTCCAACGTGAAACTGATCGCAGACTACGTACGATTGTAACACACCCGCGAAAAGGCGTCATTTTAGGGAATTCAAAGGAATGTTGATTAATAATGACTTCATTGTCCACTGATCTTTGGAACTTATTTTTAAGGCGGATAAATGACAACTATATTTTTAGCACCAACGCTTAAGATTACTCCGCTTTGTAATAACATCTGATGAGACCTCACATACCGCATGGTGCACGCTTTGTAACAGTCACTAGATCTTCTGTGACGCAAGATTGCCTCCTCACGTGACACTCAGAACGATCCTGAACATCATCTGAAGTACAAACAGGGTTAAGCGTGTCCGGACATGTTGGGCAGATGCATTCTGCTGTGTTGTTGACAGTTCTGCAGCCTATGTTGTAGGGCGCCTTGCAGCCAACAGTCTTGCATGGATCTGGAGGTTTCGCTAAGAAAAATAAAATGCAAAGATTCAGCAACAATTGTGCAAGGTCATATCGATCGCATATGATTTAACTGGGTAAATTCCACGACAGTATAATTGATGCCATCATAAGTCAGATGTAACGTTCCAAAGGTCTGCTTCAGAAGGCTTGAATTGATATTTTCATATTTCGCAATCAAGGACGTCCCCAGAGGAATCTTAGAAACCTGACAATTTATTATTTCTAAAGGAGGTTGCCTTTTTTTCAGCAATATACATATATATATATATATATATATATAGGCAGAATAATATGGTTTTCCAAACGGTGACTTCCAGTAGAAGGATCAAAAGATACCGTGCTTTAATGTGAATTTTAGTTAAGTGTAAGATGAGGCGTCATGAAGCAAACTTCTAACTTACATTAAAAGCCGGAACAGTTAGAAGTTTGCTTCATGACGCCTCTTCATTCTTCCCCAGTTGCTTCGTCCAATGCTTCCAGATGAGTCGATGACAAATCCAATATCTGCAATTGGTCTACATTCCTTCTCTAGAAAGGGAAGGAAGTCAAGTGTAAAATTCGTCCGCTCCTATAGATAGAGCTATTTATATATTGTGTCATAAAATTACCGGATTGGTTTTTGTGTACCACAATGTGACGTCAGACATGTTTTTTGCTTGATAAAGTGGGACGTAATTATAGATTTCTTGAGGATTCTGCCATTTTACTCTTTGGAAGTGAAGAACATTTATTGTATCAAAAACAATCATTATAGAACAGTTTTCAATTGAGTGTCGAAACGTAATTGGTTTTGCATTTACTAGCTTGACGATTGGTTTAAAAAACTAGCGTCACTTTTTTATCCAATCAGAAGTACAACCGAAACCAATCGTGACTACCTTCCCGCGCTTTGAGTCATCTTCATGTAATTGCTTCGAGTTTTGATTGGTTCATTGTACTGTCTGTGTCCTTTATGATTGGCTAGAGTGATTACTTTGGTTTTGGTTTTACGACACTCAATTGAAAACCGCTCTAGTAATGAGTAATTGTTATCACGTACCACATGGGCCACTCTTAGCAATAGTCACAAGATCACCACTTATACACGATTGTCGCCTCATGTGGCAAGCAGAAGTATCTTGGATATCGTCTGATGTACAAACAGGGTCGGCTGTGTCTGGACATGTCGGGCAGATGCACTCTGCTGTGTTGTTTACAGTTCTGCAGCCGATGTTGTAGGGAGCTTTGCAGCCAACAGTCTTACATGGATCTGTTACTTTCTCTGGAGGTAAAAAACACGACTGTTTTCGCTGTGCTCTTTTGAACTGTACCTTATGAAGTGTACAAAGAATAATCTATTTATACATTTTATTTCAAAATGGCGGCCAGTTTATTATTCTTTTGTGTGCATGTTAATTAGCCCTCTTTGCCTAATTTTCACTTAATTGTATTTTGTACATGTTGACGAGGCAAAGATGGCTAATTACCATGTAAACAAAAGAATAATAAACTGGCTGCCATTTTGGAATACGGTGTATAAGGTGGTGTTAATAGCCTTAAATCGGGAAGAGTGATTTAAAATGTCACCTAGTCGGGTGCTTGGTTTAGAGAACAAAATTTACTTCTCTTGTCGCCCTTACGTGCTGTTGGAAATCTCCCTGAGCAGAGTATTTACAAGATAAAGTGTTGTAACAGTAGCCCGCGTGGCAGAATGTAATGTTCCGGGCGACCTTCGTCTGTCATGTTTGAAGACATAAAAGTGGCCTAAATAGAATTACGAGAGTTTGTAATTTGCACAGCGTTGTTCTATATAACATTTTACAGCGTTCAAACAAAGCCACAGTCTTCAGAAAAGAAAAAGAGACATAACATGGATAAGAAAACATGATGCTAATATAAGATGACAGATCTATTTAACATATACCTGGAAAGCTTCTAATTATTGTGCATTTTCCATTTCTAGTACTTACATTAAAAGCCAGCAAGAGCGTATAGCTGCTTAAGTCTGCTCAAATACCTGCAGTCCTTGAGAAAAAACATCTTATAGGAAGCGATTTATTTTTACGCTGTTGTTTTTACTTTTAAAGGTTATCGCTAATGAAATCAATTAATTTAATTATTAACGCGTCAGGTTCAAGTTAAATTTAAGTGCACACTGCTAACTGCAAGTTTATTAACTGGCGAGGAGATGTCAACTGGAGGGTGAGTAACGTGAGGTGAAAGTGCTAAAGGGGAAAGATGGAAAGGGGGGAAGGGGGAAAGGGGGAGGAGAGTGTTGAGCGCTTATTGAAAGAATGAAATAAGTACGATCACAAGACACATGAAGGAAAGAGCACAACCTGTATCTGCATATACTTATAAATATATGAGCAAAATAGTGTACAAAATCACGCTTTTAACGTTTTGTATTTATCAACATCTTTAATTAATGCACAGCACACGCACAAATGTCTGCAAATGTCTGCAACTGATAGAAGCATTTAACGAGCAGAAGAAGCAGAGTGCCCGCTAGCAGCTTTAGTTATGAAATAGAATTTTTCAACGCATGCGATTCCTTTTACATTACATTAACAACATAGCGAAGTTGCTGCGTCAATTTTCTGGCAAAAAGCTTTGAGAACATTAGCAGACGAAGCTTAGATTATAGCCTTCCAGTTTTCTAATTGCTGTTAAATGTTCTTCATTCGCTACTTGCTGGGGCGAGTCTGATCTCCCAGTTGCTTGTGGGATCATTACTGGGGACAAAATAGTGTTCGTTTTTTGTTTCTGTTCCCAGTAACAGCCCCAGAAGCCACTGCGAGAGAGGTTTCTTCTCGCTTCCAAAAGGCATATAGACTTTCGCCTTAACTTCGACTTAACTCAGCAATCAATGGAAAAAGAAACACTTAAGTAACCTAAAGTAAGTATTTTTCTGCACGAGAATGAATAAGATCTATAAAATAAATACTGTGATGTATTCTTGTCTTTAATTTTCGTAATTAAACACCCCTTATATAGAAAAGCTTAAAATTCACGTTCGCTTCTTCCATGGAGACAAAGCTCCCTTACTTGGACAAGACTTCTCCACAATTGGCCTCACGACATTGACGAGTTCCTCAAAACCGGAAGATGTGAACACGTTGTCATTAGAACTTGCAATCAGTCGTAGTTGATCAACTTTAACACCGCCACCAACACCCAAGGCGAACACTTCAACTCCCTTATCTTTGATCCTTTTAGAGGCGATATCCAAAGGTGTATATGCTTGCGTTGTGGTCTGCTCTCCATCGGTGATCACTATAGCGACCTGTTGAGAATTGAAATAAAGGTTTCGTTGAGTTTTTCCGTGTAGCTTCTTTCATTTCCAGAGTTGTTGCGATGTGAACGTCAAATCATCTAATCTAAAATCAGGCTTTAAAAAAAGTGTACGTTTTAAAATTACTGACTTAGCATAAAAGAGCTCAGTTACGGTATTGTGACCATATACAAAGTTACCTTTGAACTGAAGAAAACCTGAAAATAGTAGTTTATTAAGATAGAAAAACGGTAAAGAGAGAATAATAAACCTTAAAGGAACAAAGATGGTTAAGGATGGAGACGACGTTTAAAGTTTCTTTCATTTTCAGAGTTGTTGACATGCAGATGTCATAACATCTAATATAAATGCAGGCTTTTTATCATGGTAAAATATGCGAGAAAGTTCCGGCCCCTATCTACGTAAATGAAGGCAATGTGGCCACCCAGTCTCTCTCTGAGACTGGAAACGATTCCAAAACGGTATGTGATTCTATGCAGGTACAAAAATACTGGATCAGCAGCGGACGAGCGGTGCGGACAGGTGTGATTTACAGGTGTGATTTACAGGTGTGATTTACAGGTGTGATTTACAGGTGTGATTTACAGGCCTGACTGCTCCGATTTTTTGGCCGACTCCAATTTAAACCAATTAGATATGACTGTAGCTATATTTAGCGAGTTAAAAATTGTTGTGCAATTTCTTACCTGTGATACACCAGGCCTCATTCCAGCGCTTTTAATGAACACCTGTTCATCAGCCATGATCAGAGCCTTGTCGATGTAAGTAAAGCCTCTCTGAAATCTTATTTTATCGATCAGTTTTCCATATTCCTCTGCTGTAATTTGTGCGCCAGACAATTTGTTGAAAGTAAACTCCAGCTTTGCGTTGGTGCTGTAGGCAATTACAGCTATACGAGTACCATCCGGACCAACGTTGAACACATTGGTAACTTCTTTCAAGAAGTTTATCATCAATGGCCATCTTCCACGACCAATGCTTCCCGATGAATCAACAAGGAATGCCACATCTGCCGCAGCTTTGCAGCCTGAAAAATATTAACTCTGTACCTTAAGACAACACTTTCCCAAATCTAACAAAGAACAGCACTACACCGCCTAAGTCGGCTTGAGCTTAAGTCGCGTGAAAGGAAGAGTCTTTTTGTGACGCCGCTTGATAATAGTTCCACCCCTGCAAAATCGTCGTAATAGCAAACCTGTAAGGTTTTGAAAGCTTTTGTTTCATTTTTAACCCTTTAC